CTCTCTCTCTCTCTCTCTCTCTCTCTCTCTCTCTCTCTCTCTCTCTCTCTCTCTCTCTCTCTCTCTCTCTCTCTCTCTCTCTGTGTGCTTCTCAGGTGCTTTGCTTGGCTGATCAGGTGGACTTTGCACAGCGATGTGAGATTGCGATCAAGGAAGGGACTCTAGCCCCCCTTCAATTCGAGCTCCGACAACTGCTCAAGGAATATACGTCTTTCAGCTTAGACGGACAGCACTTTCTGAACTTGAAGATTAAGGTTCGCTTCAGAATCTCCTGGGCCATGATTCGGTTCGAAGTTCTAGTTATTAGTGGTTAAGGAAATTATTTATGTTGCCAACGAGTGAATGAAGTCCTCCTCACTGCGCTGAATAGTCACCGCCAAATGTGAAAACATTGCTCCAAGTTTAATAGGCCTCCAATTTTAACGGCTGGGGTGCATGGGAATACAGATGGCCAATGGACATGGCTTTGAGACAGCATCAGCAACAAGTGCAGGCACAGCACTGTCACAGCTGGAAAAGAAAAGGGGCCAAAGCCTTAAGCTTTCGTGTATGTAGGCATCAAGATCAAGATCAAGATTAGGCTTAGATAACTGCAGTGTCAATTTCTTACTGCAGTCCTCAGACTCCTCACAGTTCTGCATTCGTAATCGGGTAAGTTTCCAAAATAGCGCGTCGCGGTAGTTTCACACCAACAATATTGGCAGGGCCTAAGTTTCGTTGCAAAAGTACATCTTTCTTTGCTGCAGCTTTAGAGGTCCCGGTAGTTTCACTAAGTTTCACAGCGAAATTTTTTGCCGGCAGCCCGGCGGCGGGGTCCCACTTTCCTTGCAAGAATAGATCTTTCGGACCCGTACAACATTCGGACTGCTGCGAAACTTCCAAAACGCACTACTTCTGCAATTACCCCTTGCTACGCGCTATTTCTGCAATTACCTCTTGCTAGGTTAATTTCCTACTCTCCTCCTAACACCACAATCATGCCTGGTAGGCCGGTGTGCAGGCGGGCCACGGCTGAATGAATGGTGTCCAGACAGCGAGCTGGCAGACACGGGATAGATGATCTTCGAGCACCCACGCGAAGTGAGACCATGGCGGAGAGAGAGAGAGAGAGTCTCAGAGAGAGAGAGAGAGAGAGAGAGAGAGAGAGAGAGAGAGAGAGAGAGAGAGAGAGAGAGAGAGAGAGAGATTATAGACTATCGAGATATGCGTGGCTCAGACTTCGTCCGACTCGGTGGATGTGGGGGAACGAGGGGAAGGTAGGCGGTGCAGCTGGATGAGTGACTGGGGCTACGGCTCAACCCTCAACGGCTTGCCAGTTGGTTGATTCGATTCCATTCCATTGATTTGATTGACAGGTGGTTGTTTGCCGGATTTGTTGATTGGTTGATTCATTGATTTGTTGATTGGTTGATTCGTTGGTTGATTGATTGATTGATTGATTGATTGATTGATTGACTGATTGATTGATTGATTGATTTGTGATCTGCTGCGTGTGGATGGACAGGCTTTGGTGTTGGACTTGCTGCATGCCATTGACGTCCTTGACCAGTTGCTGCGGGAGTCAGCATTGAGCATAGACGACTGGACCTGGATGCGGCAGGTGAGATCTCTGGGCTTATATTACCAAAAAAGGACAAAAATTCCACAAAAAAAGTCGAAATGAAGCATCTTAAAGACAAGGAAACGAAAGTCGAAGTACGACGATTGCGTGCACTTTGAAGTTCAGTCGACCATCACAGTTCGTCCAGGATCATTTAATATGTCGAAATTATTCGGCACAATAAAATGTCAATAATGTAATGAGTTACGGTGATGTCCGTCTTGCTACCGTGTGGTCCAGCTGCCGAAGGTGGGAAATTTTGGAAGGTGCTGGCGACCGGAAAAAATAAAACCCTTAAAAAGCAATGGACCTCCCCGTTCGAAAATAATATTTCAAATTGGGTGCTGGAAGACGTGGACGTCACGACGGCGACGCGGGGCAGGTGGCGTCCATATCTGCAATGGTGGAAACGGGCATTTGAAGCGGCGCAGTGGAGTCCTCGTACGTCGTCACGAATTTGTGAGCGCCCTGCGAAGGTCCATCACCATCGCCTCTGCATGCCGCCGCGCCTATGTGTTGAGTGAAGCACATGCGGGGAACGTCGTCGGGGACTTGGGGCTGAGGTTACCGTGGTCGTGGTGAGTTGGTAGGCTGTTGTATTTTCGTGGTTCATGAGCAGTGCAACACTATGTTGCACGCCCGGCCGCGGCCGGGGGGTCCGAATCGGCCGCGGCCTCGGCCGATGGCCGAATCGGCTCGGTTCGGCCTAGGCCGACCAGCCGAGTTGCGTGCAGGATTTTTTTTTTTTTAACGCATGAAAATATATATATATATATATATGGGCGTGTAGGGCTAAAAAAACCCTACACGCCCATATTTTTTTGGGGGGCATTACTGTTTTCAATTGCGTAACAAAAAAAAAAAACAGAAAAAGAAAAAAAAAACTCTTCGATACCCCGTGCAAGTATGTGTGTGTGTGTGTGTGTGTGTGTGTGTGTGTGTGTGTGTGTGTGTGATTGGGTGGGGGTTGGGGGGGCGACCCATCCCCCACCAATCAATCAATCAATCAATCAAAAGAGAAAAAAAAAAGTAAAAAACAAAAACGGGAAACCCGCTTTTCTTGTTTTTTGTTTGTACTTTTTTTTTTCTTTGGATTGATTGATTGATTGATTGATTGATTG